AGCTACAGAGAATCTTAGAGAAGTAAAATATTTATGTAAATTAAGATCCAACCAACAGCCTACCTGGCACCTGTAGTGTACGTATCCCCTATTTAGCCTGTCCCCACATGTGCCCCATTCATTAGAGACCACCACCACTCACTTGGTTGACTCCTTTTTGTCATAATTCACATCTATAAAAAAATCCTATCAGCTCTGTTTTTAAAATATATCTCAAACAGGACTACTTCTCATGGCCTCCCTGCTAAGACTAGTCCACACCGTCACCATCCTCTGCCTCGGCCAGAGCTTCCTCCTGGCCTAAGGGCTGCTTAAGTTAAAACTTTTCCATCAGATCAAAGTATTTTCCCCTTAAAGAGTTTATTCTCCTGTTAGGAGCCAAAGTAATCCTTTGAAAATATGACCATGTCAGTCTTCTTGTCTTTGTGGAAAAGAATAGGAAATCTGGAAACATACATATGGTTTCTATAATAGTATGGTCTGCACTGAAACTGTTACCTCAAAACAGTGGTGGGATATTGGATATTTTGAAAATAAATTTGGCTGCTTATCTGACATACACATAAAACATTTCCAGGAGAATAAAATTTTTGCATCTTTCAAAAAGTGCTGGAAGAATAATATCTAGATGAATGTTTACATAATTTGTATTAAAGAGAACTTTCCAGATCACAGCTCCAAATGTTGTCATTATAAAAGAACCTTGATAGTTTTTACTAAATTAGAATTAAAACGATTTTTGGTAAAAAAACAAAAAACAAAAAAACCCTCCTTATGCCCCATGCCCCCAAACGTAAAGCAAAAAGACAAATTATAAACAAAAGAAGTTATATAATAATCATGTCTAACAACATGGGAAAATGCCTATTTCATTAAATTTAAGGGGAAAGTCAGCATGCAAAACAATATATGGTAGAATCCCAGAAATTTATCTAGGGCAAAAAAAACTGGAAGTATTTAATTTATCTCTAGGTTATGTTTTTATTTTTCCAAATCACGCAATGAACACATTAGTTCTGTATCATCTTGAAGTTCACTCTCGCAGTTGAGGGAGGGCAGTTTTTTCTCAGTAGATGGACGGCGCTTGGAAGCTGATGCTCTGTCCCCCGGAAATGCGCCCACGGGTCCTCGAGAGGCGAAGCAGCACAGCAGAAGTGCCCGGCTGGGGCGTGGCACCCACCCAGGCCCCCAGCACGGCGCCGCCCTGTCCCCGGGCTTCAGCTGCGCGGCGGGGATGCCCGCCCACCAGACAGGAGTTCCTGAGACTCACAGGGGAGGAGGGCCCGGCCGGGGTGGGGGCTCCGCACGGGGCAGGGCCACCCTCCCCGGCCCGGGGCTTAAGCTGAACCCTACAGGGTCTGCCTTCCCAAACCAGGGCTCCTCGAGTTGACAGCGCGGTCTGTACCCACATACGGACAGAAACTTCTCGTCCCGCCACGTCGAGAGCCAAAGGACGTTGCTGCCCCCTTGGGACGGTGGCCCACGGCGGGAGGCTGGAATGATTCGGCCAGTGCCGCCCAGGGGAGCGTGGGAGCCGCGGGGAGCGGGCGCCTCGGGGGGGCTCCCGGCTCTGCAGGCACACGGCGCCGCGGCCTCGCGGGAGGGGAGCATGTCCGGCTGGGGCAGCTGCGGCCGCGGCCCTGCGAGGACGTGGAGGAGCAGCAACCTTTCCGTCGGGTCTACCGGAAAGCCAGCGCCGCCTCCGGGGAGCCCTGGGTCCAAACCACGCCGGGACTCCGCGCTTCCCATCCTTCTCCGTGTCCAGAGGGGAGAGGACGGCAGGACCGGAAAGCCCCACGGCCAGACCGGCTTTCTACCTGCCTCCTGCAGGCCTTGCTAAACCCAGGTCGGGTTTTGTTTTTTTTTAAATCGATTTAGTGACACAAAAGGCTTGGTGTCACTGTTGGGGAAAGGAGATTTATTTTGCTCTATTCTATGAATAATTTTAAATACAGCAAAGTACAAGGATTGACATTTCTTGGAACTACCTAATGTCTTTCTTCACCACCTCTGACCCTGTGGGAAACAAAGTATCTGAATGAGTCATTTTGTCAGTCAAGAGCCCAAGGGGCAAGGAATTAGCCAATCTAAGTAAAAACAAATGAAAAAACGAAGAGCTCTACAAATTTAAAAAAAAATCCTCTTTAAAAAAACAGACTTTACTTTTACAGAGTAGTTATAAGTGCACAACAAACCCGACTGAAAAGCACAGAGATTCCACATGCATCCCCCATCCACCCCGTCTCCCCCTCCACCAGCATCCTGCCCCGCATCCGCCCTCCAAGTCCGCAGATTTCCCTCTTGGTGGACGGGTAATTTTGGACACATAGGATGAGTTAGGAAGCATCCCTGTGCTTCTATTTTTCCAGAAGAGATATTACAGAATTGGCATAATTTCCTCCCTACATGTTTGGCAGGAAAAAATAAAGGAAATAAATCCATCAGAAAGTAGAGTAATTAAAATTGAAAACTTCTGTTCGGTGTCAAGAGCAAAAAAAAAAAGCCACAGACTTCAAGAAAATATTTGCTGAACACATCTCTGATAAAGAACTTGTGTACAATATATACAAAGAACTCTTAAAAGTCAATATTAAAACAACTCAGTTTTAAAATGAGCAAAATGATTGATATGCTAAGATAGGCGAGGAAAAGGAATCAGTTAAAACCACAAAAATGCTGAAAAGATGGATAAAGAACAAGGGTAACAATTACAAGGTTGTAACCAACATGGCAGATTTTAATCCAACTATATCAGTAATCTCTTTAACATTGTTCAAAACAAAATTCATCCAATTAAATTTGAAGATTGAATTGTCTTTATTAAGTGATTCATGAATCAGGCAGCATCCCGTCTAGGAACTAGAGAGATAGGTCCCAGGGCTACAGAAAGGGAGAGATTCTTAAAGGTGGGACAGGGAAATCAGAAGAAAAAAAAAAGGATTATTTTGGGTGGAGTCACCTTTGTTTGGGGACAAAAGGGTCTTATTAAGTGGATTACCTCACCTTTTAGGGAGGGCGGAGAGGGCTTAGGTGATGATCATATTAGGAGAATGCTGACCAGAAAATTCCTGACTGATTACATTTCTGGGAAAGGTTGAATATGCAATTAGATTAGGTATGAAGCCCCAGTTTGGTGGCCTTGCCTAGCAGAAGTGACCCCATGTCAGGCCTGTATCTTTCTTTTTAACAACATTGATGGTCAAAGTATACCAATCAAAAGTCAGAGATTGTCAAAATGGATAAAAATACAAGATCCAACAATACATTGCCTACCAAGAAGCCTATTATGAATATAAAGGCATATATAGATTAAAAGTAAAGGGATAGAGAAAGATATACCATGATAAGACTAAATATTAATTTAAACAGAGCTGACTTCAAATCAGGGAAAGTCAGCAGGGACAAAAAGGGATATTATAATGATAAAGAGCTCAGTTCTCCAAGAAGCCATAACAATCCTTAACAGTATCTAACAACAGAGCATCAAAATATGTGAGGTTAAATTTATGGACCTATAAGGATAGATGACTCCACTAGAGTTAAAGACTTTGACACCTCTCTATCAGAAATGGACTCATCTAGCACGCAGATAATTCATAAGGACACAGAAAAACCCAACAGCCCCATCAGTCAGCCAGATATAATTAACATCTATAGACCACTTCATCTAATAATAGCTGAATATACATTTTTCTCAAGCTCACATGTAACACAACACTAAACTAGACTACATTCTGGCCATAAAACACACATGAACAAATTTAAAAGAATAGAAATCATACAATGTATATTCCCTGACCACAGTGGAATTGAAATAGCAGTCCCCAGAGAGAGAGCTAGAAAATCCCCAAATAATGGAGATTAAACAACACACTTCTAAGTAACATATGGGTAAAAAAAAATCTCAGGAAAAATTAAAAAATAGTTTGAACTAAGTGAAAATGAAAACACAATTTAAAATTTGTGGGATGCAGTGAAGACAGTGCTTAGAGGGAAATGTATAGCACTGAATGCATATATTAGGGGAGAAGAAAGATCTGAAATAAATCATTTAGGCTTTCTCCTTAAGAAACTAGAAAAAACGCAAATTAAATCTAAAGTAAGCAAAAGAAATGATAAAAATTATGGCATAAATCAATGAAATTGAAAATAGGAAATCAGAAAAATCAATTAAACCAAAAGTTCGTTCTTCGGGGAAAAATAAAATCAATAAAATCAGTAAGCCTCTGGCCAAGCTAACAAAAAAAAACGAGAGAAGACACAAATTACTGATATCAAAATGAAAGATGGGATATCATTACAGATCCCATGGACTTTAAAAGATAATAAAGGGATATTATGAATAAGTCTATGCCCACAAGTTTGAGAATTTAGATGAAATGAACCAATTCCTTGAAATACTTAATCTGCCAGAACTCACACAAGAAGAAATAGACAAACTATTGAATAGGCCTATATCTATTAAAGAAATTGAATAATTAATAACTTTGTGTAAGTCCGGGGAGAGGAAATCTACCTCTAAATACCTCTAAAAACCGAAATCAGTCAAAGGGAGAAATAAAGTTTAAAACCCGTCTACTGCTTACAAACTGTAGTCCAGGGCCATCTCTCCTGCTCCTGAAGAAGCAAGCCAGCAAGCAAGCAAGCCCCTCCCCCTAAACTCTCAGGTTCAGACACGCCCTCTGTTGCCCAGGTAATTATCCATTGACATGGAGATGAACTTCTCTCCACCCCTGAGGATATGCAAATGAACTAAAGCCAGGCCAGATACTCTAGAAATGCTACAGTTTCACCCACACTTTGCAAAAGAGAAATTGTCAAACAAGGCTTGTTCACTCGTGAATTCTAACAAACATTTAAAGAAGAAATTATACCAATATTCCATGACACCTCTCAGAAAATAGAAGCAGAGAGAATTTTTCTAACTCATTCTATGAAGCTAACACTGGCCCAATACCAAAACCAAAGACATTGCCAAAAAACTACAAAAAATGTTTCTCATAAAGATAGATGCAAAAATCCTCAACAAAACATTAGCAAATCTAATTCAGCAAAATTCCTTTCTAAAGATCATGAATACTATCCATTTCAGATTAAGGATTCGAGAATGGAGATTACATACATATGCATTTAGGTTTTTGTTGTTTCCTGGGTGCTCCATTAGCACTGTAATCCTATTTATACACAGATGATCATATTAAGAGTTATAGTTAATCCATGTGAATTAACCCATTCAACCCGAGATGAACCAGGTCTAATACTTTCATTTTCCAGTCCTAGGCACAGACAGGTGCCTAGCATTATAATAGATGTCTACTATGTTTGATGAATGATTGAAATGAGATTTGTTCAGGCAGTTTGAAGAAAGCAGAAGCATTCCCAGCTTGCTTGCACCCCTAAAACAGGATGTCCAGCCACAAAGCCACACCGCAATGATGGGAGTGCTACAAGCATTTATTCAATTTATTTAATTAGCTCTAAAACGACAGCAAATATTAAGTTTTGAAGAAACGACTCTCAGGCCAGAGATTTCTAAACTGTGGGTCATTAAATTTTGTGCATTACAACCAACATTTTAAAAACTAATATCGGCTTAAATATGTCAAAGTGCTGCTCACTTGGCAAAACTACTAGCAATGGTAAAACTCTTAGCAAAAGCAAGGCTGTTTTGTCAACCTTTTGTTTCAAAAATTTTACGTATGCATTGGGTCAGGTTGTGACTGATGTTTACCAGCCACGGGTAAACACGTTTGTAGCCCGGGAAGTGCGGGCTGCTAGGGGTGGAAGCTCAGCAGGGCAACACGCAGGGAGCGCGGGAAGTCCCACGCCCAGAAAGAAACAGACTCTCCGCGCACTCACTGGTTCAAAGGGCGCCCTGACTAAGAGAGCGGATTGGTCGACTCGTGAGGGCCCCTCCCCCGACGTCTCGTCCACCAATGGGAGGCCGGGGCGGGGCGGGCTGGCCTCGCGCGGGCGCCTGGAGAAGCGGCTGCGTGGCGGCTTCGGACGACCAGTCTCCGACGGCGCGGTCGGGACGTGCCGAGCCGGCCGCGAACGACGTCGAACGCGCCGGATCTTCTTCACGGAACCATGTCTGGGCGAGAAGCATACGCCAACGCCTCGCCCGGGGTCGTTGCTTCTCGGCGAAGCTCGGCAATGTCCCAGGCTCCGGAAAGGAGGACGGAGGAGGAGCCTAATCGAAGCGGTCGCGGGGGCAGTCGGGGCGGCAGAGGTGGCGGCCGCAGGGACCCCGCGGGCCCCCCGCAGCCTGCGGCTGCCGGCCCCCAAGAAGCGCCGCTGTGCTTTGGGTTGAAGAACGACTGGGTCGGCACGGTGATCGGTGAGAGGGGGTGCGCGGCGGGGCTGGGCAGAGCTCCCCGCCCGCCTCGCCTCGCCTCCAACCAGCTACTGCCTAACGAGACTCAAGGTTTCTCCCTGCGATGTCTTTAATGCCTTCTGGTGCTAGAATGATGTCGTTTAATGCACCTTTTAATATTTCAGAGGTGGTGTTTTGGTGTTTTAGAGATGGTGTTTCGGGGAGCAAACTTAGATTTATGAAATCTTTGAGATGAAAATCAGACCCTTGACAGCTTACCCCGAAATGATCCAAAAAGCATGCTGATATCCGTCTGTTTGAGCCAATAACCAAAGATGAGAAAGTGTAGGATATTATTATAGGGCTGCTCAGAGCATTAGCCACATCTTGAACTTAGTTTAACTTGATAGGATTGATCTGAAAATCAGGATCTTTTTTCTTAGTATATCTTAAGTTCATTTTTGAAAAGCATTTAGTAATGATTGGAATTTAGACTTGCCCCATTATTGCCATTAGGTCTGAGGATAAATTCCAGCATTTGCCCATTAGGTATAGAAGCTAATATTTTGCTGTACTCCCCTTTTAATCTCTTGAAAAGACACACAGATTTTGTGTGATATTAAGTAGAGCAATAGAAGACTGGTTGCTAGACCAGCCACAGGTTCACTGACCCCTTCAAGGAGGCTTGGCTCAAAGGTCTGAAGAGTGACGCTCCGTAAATGCAAGCCACTAGGTTTGCAATAAATATCACTTACGCTCTCAACAACTAGTGAACACCTGTGAAATGCACCGTGCTAGAGAGCACGACTTGATGTTGGTTCTAGATCCATTCTTTTGAATTGTGGTAAATACAACAAATTTCTATATAATGAGTTTAAATGTGCAGTATAGTATTAACTGTAAGACTGCTACATAGTAGATCTCTAAAACATTTTCATCTTGCATGTCTGAATCTACCTATTGAACGACTTCCCATTTCCCCCTTCCCCCATCCCTGGCATTTTACTTTGTTTCTATAAGTTTGGTTACTTAGATAGCCCTTAGAAGTAGCATTATTTTTTTGCATGTGATTGGCTTATTATGCTTAGCATAGTGTCCTCAAGGGTCACCCATGTTGCAAATGGAAGGGTTTCCTTTTTTAAGGCTGAAAACTTCCATTGTATATACCACATTTTCTTTATCCCATCAGCTGTTGATTTAGGTTGTTTCTACCTCTTAGGTATTGTGAATAATGCTGAGTGAATATGGGAGGGCATACGTCACTGAGATCCTGATTTCAGTTCTTTTGCATGAAAGCCCAGAAGTGGTATGGCTGGATCACAGTAGTTCCAATTTTTTTGAGGAACCTCCATACTGTTTTCCATAGTGGTTGCACCAGTTTACAATCCCACCTACAGGCACAAGGGTTCCTTTTCTCTACATCCTCAACACTTATCTATTGTCTTTGATGACAGCCACTGTAACAGGCATGAGGTGATTTTGTGGTTTTGATTTGCATTGCCCTGGGTTTTAGACCTTTTCATAGATGCCTGTTGGACACTTGTTTGTCTTCTTTAAGGAAGTGTCTACTCAAGACCTCTGTTTTTTTAATTGGAATTTTTTGTTGTTGTATCGTAGTGTGCAGGCCTTCCAGTTTCTCCACATCTTGCCAAGACTTAGGCTCCAGTTAGTTTTTGCTTGGGCTGATGATGTATCCTTAGTATTTCCCTCTGTGGAAGGAGTCTCCCACCCACCAACATTTGCAATAGAAAATTCTCGGTTCCCCTTTCCAGACTGAAAGTGACCACTGGACCCTAGGAATCTATCTGTTCAGGTGATTTGAGAAAGAACTAGAAAAGGTTCTTTGCAGAAAGTAGATAAATCCCCCTTGTTAGTTTCAACTTCTTTAAAAAAATTATTTTTAAAAACAGGTCGTGGTGGGTCAAAAGTACGAGATATCCAAAGTACAACAAACACCAAAATACAAGTAAGTGGTCTGTGTTCTTAAATCCTGAAAGAGTGTAGTTTGTTCCTAACTCTAGTTTCTGCTCAGTTCTTCTGGGTGATTCAGGTAAGTTGTCAAACCTGTTACACTGCCATTCTTTACAAGAACTCATCTAAGCAGAGGTCCATCCCAAGTCTAGGTTTTTTGACTCGCGGAGGTAAGAATCGTTAGAGATACTCTTCACTGAATCTCTGGGGAGTGTTGCCCATCAAGCCCTTCCTGACCCCCACCCCTCAAACTTTTGAGCTGCTCCTGTGTCCCCAGTCTCGGGAAGCAGCAGCATCGTTCCCCAGGTTCCTAAGCCAAAAATCAATGACGTCCCTCTCAGCCTTCAACCAGTCCCTCCCTGAGCCCTCTCCAGTTCCTGTATTTCTCAGGGGGAACCTGCATCACCTGGGGTGTTCTCTCCTAACTGGCCATTCTGCTTCCAGCTTGGTCCTCTGCTAGCCATTCTCCCCTGTGGCCCCATGTCAGTCTTTCTAAAACACAAATCAGGTGTTAGGGCCTTTTCTTGCATGAGAGCCTTCCATAATATCTCAGACATTGATTGAAACCTTATAATTTACTTTATATTCTATCCTACTTGAAGTTGAGTGATTTTTGAAGGGGGCATGGTGAAGGGACTTCGGTCTCAACCACCTGTTTTACCTCTTGTACCTAGATAAGAAAAGGGCATTCTCAGGCAGAGATCAAAATTTTTGGCAGCAAAGCAATGCAGACAAAAGCAAAAGCAATGATAGACAATCTTGTTAAAATACAAGAAAGCCACAAATCAGAACCCCAAGTCGGTAAGTAATTGTTGCCCATAAAGCCTGTAAAATTTTTTAAATTTCATTTGTATTATAAGCCATATAATAGCTTTTTTCCTGATAATAAAGCTTCAGAGTGCCATCTCTAAGTCTAGTTGGTTACAGGATATTTTTCTGTGAAACCCAAGAATACTTTTTTCCTCAAATTAAAACACTTAATCTCTGTGGTTAAGCCTAGCAGTTTTACTTTTAACCACAAATGAGTGAAGGAAAAAAAACAAAATAACTTTTGAATACATTTCTATGAGTGGTAGAAAGGATTAGTCCTGGATTCCAGCTCTTCCCTGGAACATGACTGACTTTGAAAACTGCCTAGTTATTTGGTATTTAAACAAAACTCAGATCTGCTTGGACTAGAGCAAAAGCCAGTATTGAACCATCTCCAGAGGCAAAAAGGATGTAAAAAGAACAGTCTTGGGTCCAGATGGCAACATTGCCTCCATGTTTCTTGGGAGAAGCATCTAAGACTATCCATTAATCTGGGATATCACCTGCCTCACAAGACTACTGTAAAGATGAAGTGATATGTGTGATTTATTAACAGATTGATTAACCCATCTCATGCTATTTAACTTTCCCCCAGTAAATAAAATTTTTTTCCATTTCATAAATCTGAAGTAAATAACTACAAAAACCATAAACAGAATTGTCATGGTACGGCAGTTCTAAAAAACTCTAAATTTCAAGCATTATTGCCTGGTTATTGAAACACAAAACAGTAAATGGTTTAAAGGATTGTGTAGCAGTTAAGATTTGCTTTGACACTAATTTGGTAAAAATATTTTTAACAGATATTGTTGCATTCCAACCTTCTGGTAGAAGAGATGAAAGGTCAGATGACAGAGCTGCAGGTCAGCCATTGATTGATTGGGACCAAATTCGAGAAGATGCTTTAAAATGGGAAAGAAAAAAGTGGTCAGGTTAGTGCTGCACCCAACATTTACATGTGGTGGTGTTTCTCTTAATTGAGGTTTTTATTCTGTATCAAATGTATTAATTTTAGTAATTAAATCTATATGAAAAATGATAGTAAAACTTGAAATGCTGCCATTAGTCCCAGGACATGCAAGTTTCTATGTTGTGATTTATGCTATAAATGGAAAATTAAGGTATTACACTTATTTACACCTTGTCTTATTTGAGGTAACTGCAAAAGTTTAATGAAATAAAAAGAAAATTGTCCCAAGGGGAAAGTGAAGGGAATATATACATGCCAGCCCTATGTTAACATTGTTGCTGTGATTAGGCAAAAATTGATCTTGGAGTGAGTGTCCTGGCTTCCAAGGGCAAAATGAAAAGGGAAAAAACATTTAATAAGTATAAAATTCTTGAAGTGATGGATTTTTAAAATTTGTTTAATTTTAAATCAAATTCTCACTTGGAATTATCTATGGTGTATATTGTTTCACCTTCTATTCACTGAATATCAAAGTAAATTCAGGCGCCAATTTTGCCTCTCTGAATGAGGCAGTGATACAACTTCATTTATTTAAAATCAGAAAGCTAATCACTAACATGTGACAGATATTACCAACAACTAATTCCACGGTGGCAGTCAGCCCATGTCTGCGTCAAATTTCCAGTGCCACCCTGCACAAGATGGTGTGTTGGGGAGGTTTGGGATGAGAGGCCAGAAAAGGGATTTAAGTTTGGAAGATATATGATAGACATTTAAGAAAGAAAACAAAGTAGCTTGAGAGGGTAGAATCAGGGCTGAATAAGTATTTTATTCCTAGATAGTAATGGGATGGATTTTCAAGAATGATAAAATCAATTTACTGTGCTTGAGAGAAGATTCATCATTTGCAATGATTGTGTGCTTTGTAAAATTTGGTTTCTTTTATACTTAACTATTAAAGATCTCTTTTCTTGAGTGAAAAGTGTAATTGAAAGACAAACCGAAAAGGGAAACTATCTTGGAGACTGGCATAAGCCTGGCAATCAGAGTATAGAGCAACTATCTAAAACTATGTTTATGCAAGGTGAATGTATGTAGTATATATTTTAGTTTGATTTCTGTTATTCTGAATGTGTCAATGAAATTTAAATTGTCATTTTCAAAGTTTAAATTTTCAACTTTGTCCCAGATTTACCTCCAATTAAGAAAAATTTTTACATGGAGTCAGAAATGACAAGTTCTATGTCTCAAGAGCAAATAGACAACTGGAGGTAGGTATTTTTATTTCTTTAAGGGAGTGTGTAGTTAGTTTTTTAATTAATTCATTTGGCAGAGATTTGAAATGATTATATTTGAAAGTTACACTTTCCATATTCAAATGAAAACTTGGTTGCAGCCCGCATGGTATATTAGAGCAATGCTAGCCAGTGAAACTTTCTGCAAACATGGAAAATGGGCTATATTTGCATCTAATGGAGTAGTCACTATCCTTATATAGCTATTGAACACTTGAAATATGGCTAATATAATTGAGGAACTGAATTTTTAATAAAAAATTTTAAAGACCATCTGTGGTTAGTATTGTATTGGACAGCAGTTTTAGAAAATTATCCCTATAACTTGAAAATTGAAAGAAATTGATACATTAATATTTTAAAAACTTATCTTTGATCCTTATTATCTGGAACTAAAAGTCCTAATGACAACATTTTTTTTTTATTAAAGTCTGATACAAAACTGCAATAGTATGATATAGCAGAAAGAACATTTATTCTAGAGTTTGGGTAAGGTTCAAACCTTGGACAAGTACTCATTGTCACCTGTCAAATGAGAGTAATTCCTACTTTAGAGGATTGTTGAGGATAAATTAAGGAAATAATGTGTAGAGCATTGTAGACTCAAGTGTTTGCCAAATCCGATTTTGAATCATGATGCATATAATTTCAGATTCTATTCTTAACCTTTTCATGAAACTTTCCATTCATACCTGCAGTGTACTTTTTTCCTTCTCTGCAACTATTTTGATATGAAAAAGATGGACTTCTATTTCTTAATTATATTTTACTGTAACTTTACTAACAGTCTGATTTTAATCAGTTGCAGTTGAATTTCTAGATATGACCCAAACTAATACTGGAAAAAAAATTGGCTTGGTGGGTAAAGTGACCAAACCAGTAATATTTGTTCTATTTTTTCCTTAAAGGAAAGAAAATTATAATACAATGTGCGATGACTTAAGGGATGGTGAGAAACGTCCTATCCCCAATCCGACTTGTAAATTTGAGGATGCCTTTCAAAGTTACCCTGACATTATGAAAAACATTAAAAAGGCAGGTTTTCAAAAGCCAACACCAATTCAGGTATGCTTTAATTCTAATATTTCACTGACCCTTTTTTCCCTACATCTGATTGTTAGAAGTTCAATTACCAGGCAGCAACTGCCTCTTCTTTTTTTCATATTTTATTCACTTTACTTTTCTTTCTTAATCTGTTTCAAGACAGTTGAAGTTTTAAATAAAATTTTGACATTGTGGAATACATTTTTTAGTACAAGACTTATGTTACTCTATGTTATATTAGAACTGTGGTGAGACAGTCTGGATGACCAGAATTCTAACTTTTTTAGGATTGTTGAGGATAAATTAAGGAAATAATGTGTAGAGCATTGTAGACTCAAGTGTTTGCCAAATCCGATTTTGAATCATGATGCATATAATTTCAGATTCTATTCTTAACCTTTTCATGAAACTTTCCATTCATACCTGCAGTGTACTTTTTTCCTTCTCTGCAACTATTTTGATATGAAAAAGATGGACTTCTATTTCTTAATTATATTTTACTGTAACTTTACTAACAGTCTGATTTTAATCAGTTGCAGTTGAATTTCTAGATATGACCCAAACTAATACTGGAAAAAAAATTGGCTTGGTGGGTAAAGTGACCAAACCAGTAATATTTGTTCTATTTTTTCCTTAAAGGAAAGAAAATTATAATACAATGTGCGATGACTTAAGGGATGGTGAGAAACGTCCTATCCCCAATCCGACTTGTAAATTTGAGGATGCCTTTCAAAGTTACCCTGACATTATGAAAAACATTAAAAAGGCAGGTTTTCAAAAGCCAACACCAATTCAGGTATGCTTTAATTCTAATATTTCACTGACCCTTTTTTCCCTACATCTGATTGTTAGAAGTTCAATTACCAGGCAGCAACTGCCTCTTCTTTTTTTCATATTTTATTCACTTTACTTTTCTTTCTTAATCTGTTTCAAGACAGTTGAAGTTTTAAATAAAATTTTGACATTGTGGAATACATTTTTTAGTACAAGACTTATGTTACTCTATGTTATATTAGAACTGTGGTGAGACAGTCTGGATGACCAGAATTCTAACTTTTTAAAAAAAACAATGAGAAAGTGTAACTGGCAGCCGGGCTCCAAGTTTACTCACATCCAGCATGTATCACACGGGGTTCTGAGTGAAACGTAACATTTGGCACCTGCCTCTCATGAGCACCCCAGACCTGCACTGCCAGCCCAGCCTCAGAAATGTTTGGGGCTGGGAGAGAAGGGACACTTGACAAAGAAATGCATTTCTTACTTTAATATTTATCCTTCTGTTTCAGTCACAAGCATGGCCAATAGTCCTGCAAGGAATAGATCTTATAGGAGTGGCCCAAACTGGGACAGGAAAGACTTTAGCCTACTTAATGCCTGGATTTATTCATCTTGATTCTCAACCAGTGTAAGCATTCCCACAACGGTTCTGTTTGGAAGGACTAGACCATGGGTGCCAAAAGGGCAACTAAAGTGTCCTCCATCTGTTGCATCGGTCAGGTCACGCCTTGTTCCGGGGAAATGCACTTGCGCTGTGCTGGTCCAACTATACATGGACCGAACACTTTAGGAAGCAATACATAATAGCTGCCAAAAGTCTTAATAGTGAAACATTGGAAACAAATTGCTTAGATTATCATATCCAAAATCATTGCTCGAGAATGTTTAATCAAAAGGCTGGTATCTGGGCCCTTGGATTGTATTGTTTTGCTCTTTTTCTGTACTTCCCCACTTTCTATGGTGGGTATATGTAACGTTGACATGTTACTGCAAATTTGAAAGCACTGATTGAGTGCACCATGTATCTGAAACAGCAAATTTAATGATCTCTTTTCTCTCCCAAGAGCTAGAGAAAAAAGGAATGGACCTGGCATGCTGGTCCTTACACCCACTCGAGAATTAGCTCTTCAGGTGGAAGCTGAATGTTCTAAATATTCATATAAAGGTCTTAAAAGGTAAGTCCTTTTGGGGGCCATTCCTGCATCAGCATTTTAATCATGTGTAGCTTTGTATATTTTCCATTATTCACACATTTAGAGAATCTGCTCAGCGTGGGTCAGGTGTTAGCCCTGATCCAAATCAGCTGTAGCCAAGGCGGCTGCAAACATGTCTCCTTGGGACACACCACCGTGAGGTGGTAGGTGCGGGTAGTTCTCAAAGGGGCAAATACTGCTGCGTGACACTCCTCTTCAGTTATATACCTGTTACTTTGTTTTACACCCAAAATGCGTCGGCTCGTTGGGATTTTGAGTTGTGACGGGATACTCCTTGCCTGAAATGATCCTGTTTTTTGTTTTATTTTCGAAGTGTTTGTGTATATGGTGGTGGAGACAGAAACAGACAAATACAAAGCCTGACAAAAGGGGCAGATATCATTATTGCAACTCCTGGAAGACTGAATGATCTGCAAATGAATGATTTTGTCAACCTGAAAAGCATAACCTACTTGGTAATCGCGGAATAGGAATTCGGGATAGTTAAGAGGAAGAACTCAGCTCTTACTAATGAAAGGCTTCTGGAATGGCTTCCTTTTTATAACAGTTTTAATTTCTAGGAATAGTTCCCATTCCTTCTAGTATGTTAAAATAAGGATTTTAGGATAATTCTATTTTAGTGGCTTTTAGAAATGCTGGAAAATATAGGTAAGTACAAAAGAAAATTAAAATCCACATGGATATTGGACATTACAGTTTTTTTCATTACATTTAGGAACTATTGGCCAATTTAAAAAATCAAATCAATCTCCAGGAAGAGGCCTTGGTGTGTGAGGGGTGGGGGCAGTTGGAGGGGAAAAAAATCAGTAAATCTGTTAAAACTATGGATAGCTTATTTTCTCCTGGAGAAATTAAAATAGTAGCTTTAAAAAAGCTAGTGGCATAGGTAATAGGGGAAATGAAAAAAGTTACCTCTTAGTATTATATTTATAAAGAAAGCCTATATATTAGCTACCTTCCATATCTGATCTTGGCCACAATCATTTTTAATGCAGGTATTAGATGAAGCCGACAAGATGCTAGATATGGGATTTGAACCCCAGATAATGAAGATTTTATTAGATGTGCGCCCAGATAGGCAGACTATTATGACAAGGTAGGTAACATGTCTGCAGCACAGACACCAGTGTGACAGAAGCCATTCTTTGAGGTTGGTTTTCCCACAGGATTTTTAAAGCATTACATGAGTTATCTTGATAACCTTTAGGGAAAGATAGCATGTTCTCAGTGTACCAACAGTGTAACTGCAACAGTGACTACTGGGTTTCCTAAATGAGAGATTTCCATCAAAACATGCAGGGCTCCTGGAGGGGGGGCTGTTCATGGTGGGGTCTCACTTTTGAGTGAGTGATCACCTGTCCCCAGAGGTGACCACTGGATTAATGAGGACTTCTTTGCCCAAGACAAAACTGAGGAAGCAGTGTTATTGAAATGCAGAGTGACCTGTAGACCATTTTCTCCTGGGCTTTAACCCTTGTGTCATTTACATAAAAAACAGTGTGTAACTGAGGAAGTATACCCAGTTTCCTCATTTTGTTTTCTTAATACTCTTCCCATCATTGTAACTACTGTGAAAGTACAAAAGGTAGGTTACTTGCATCAATACACATGGTTGAAGAAACATTAGAATTTACATATACATTCATCAGTACACAAAAAATGCTTTTTGGCATAAGCACATGGTTTTCCTGCTGGCAGTGTATGAAAAATACTAGTTTTTTTTCCTCTCTCATAAAAGCCAAGCGAAAACTAACCTAACACTTAACTGTTAAGCTTGTTTCCCTGTAGTTGTGTTGCTTTGTGAAGTAGTGAATCTAGTTTCACTGTAGTTGAGTGATGCTTTGTGAAGCATACATTTTCGGTAAAATCTGCCTTAATGAAAAGTACTGAATTTGTCTCTCATGGGTAATTCCATTCACGGCGTTCTCAGGGAGCTCAGTAATGTTTGGTTTACGTTGTACGACATGTTCTATTTCCAGTGCGACGTGGCCGTCCTCTGTCCGTCGGCTTGCACAATCTTACCTGAAAGAGCCGATGATCGTGTGTGTTGGTACTCTGGATCTAGTTGTAAGCTCGTTTTTTATTACTATTAACAGTAATATTATGGAAATTTTAATTGCTTTGTGTTCTGGTATGTCTACTCTGCTCGCTCCTTAATTTTAGCAAATCCTAGACACATGATTTTATCCACAAATACTTCAGTAAATATGGCTAAAAGACTAATTTTAACATAACTACATTATTATCTCACATCTAAAATTTCAATACCGTCAAATATTGTCAGTGTTCCTATTTTCCTGATATTTTTATTAAACTTGCTAGAATCAGATTCTAAACAAGGTCTACATATATAAACCTCATGTTCTCTTTTTGTGAAGTTAAGATTGATCAATGGATTTAGATGTCAGTAGTTATATAATTTATAATTAAAGATCTCCATTTTATCTCTCTTCCATTAGAAAGTCCTCGGCCTTTCAATTAGTAACTGAAAATTGACCCTACACTTAATCACCAGTAATTAATAGTAATGCATCATTTCTAAGACTCATTTCATTGGGCTGTCATGAAAGGTAGAATAAATGCTCAATTCTTTCATTTTCATCTATGGATCAAAACATGGTATAAATGCTATTTTGAAATTTTGCATTAAGTTGTCCAAATACTCATTAAATGGAAAGTGTGTCATTAGGCGATCATCTTCCTTCAATTTAATGGCTGTGCCCAAAATTCCTGACAGTTTTAAGCTTAGCCTCACTCCATGGTTCTTTTCCTACACGTTGCCAAGCATCCAAGAGTTTCCAGCTTAGCTTAGGTGAGTAAGTGATAAAAAATGAAAGGCTGAGCTACAAATGCTTGAGTTAAAACGGGTAATCTTGCAAGGACTGACTTCTTTTCCTTGTAACAGTTTATCTAAAACGTTAACCAATGATAGAAGCAAAATCTCTTTTGCGACAGTGTATGGGGTTCACCTACCAATGGTGATGTACTGTGTGGTCTTTGAATCCTTTAGGCTGTAAGTACCGTAAAGCAAAATATAATTGTCACCACAGAAGAGGAGAAACGATGTCACCTCCAGACTTTCCTAGAGAGTATGTCTCCTGAAGAAAAGGTCATAGTGTTTGTCAGCAGAAAAGCTGTGTAGGTATTGTTTCTTCAGCATCCTTAACCACCTGTCAGGTGATTTGTTTAGTATACAAATAGAAATAGCACTGATTGCAAATGCAGATGTAGGTATTCCACACAGCGCACTATTTCTGACTTCCGCTAATAGAAGTGAACTAGTGAACCGGTGTCACTAGAATGAGCAAGTGAATCACTGACTTACCTTTTGCCTCAGTGCCGATCACTTATCGAGTGACCTGATTCTCCGACACTTATCAGTAGAATCTCTTCACGGCGACAGAGAGCAGAGTGATCGAGAGAGAGCATTAGAAAACTTTAAAACAGGTACATTTATATAATTAATTGCTGCAGTTTTTAAGTGTACGGTGCCTGGGCATGGCTGAGTAACAGCACCTTTTTATGGATCCCATTTCTAAACTCTGTCTTCAGCTTGCAGGCCCCCAAACTATACTTGTAGAGCTCTAAGTATTAATAGACTCTCACAACTACCCAAACTCAAAATAGCTAATGTTTAATGTCAAGGTAATAATTTGCAATAGGAGATGTTTCTATTAATTTACTTGAAAGGCATGTGTGTGTGTCTTGGTGACACAGCTCAGATGATTCAGGGACCGTTTGCTGAGCCATGGTACCTACTTTACTTTAACTTGCCAGCAGTTAAAACTAAACACTATAAATATCCCTTTCCCATTTTAACTACCATGTTAACATTAAAAGCAATCGTTCACCTCATTAGATATTAGGGGAAAATACGCTCTGAGATATGTCTTGGGTTGTCTCGTACTAGAATGCCTACCCCTTTGGCTCTCCTCTTTAGGTACAGTGAGAATACTCATTGCTACCGACTTAGCATCTCGGGGACTTGATGTTCATGACGTCACACACGTCTATAATTATGATTTCCCCCGGAACATCGAAGAATATGTGCACAGAGTGGGGCGCACTGGAAGAGCAGGGTAAGCAAGATAGCGCGCCCGTGAAAGGAGCCACCCCAGGCTCCTCCTCGCTCCCCCAGCCCCTGACTGCCCCTGCCTGGCGGCTCTGGCCTGTAATGGCCTGCACCGCTCCAGGCCGTTCGGTACGTCCTCCTGCCCGGTGGGCCTGCCCCAGACTCAGCCAGACCTCTGGGGTTAGCTGCATGCGAATGCCTCTAGGTCTCACGGTCTGTCTGTAGTGACACAGCACTGAGTCACTCTGCCCAGCGGCTCTCTGCCCCAGGTGGCATGTCTAAGAGGACTGCCCCCCACCCCAGAGCGCTATCCTATCCCGTGCAACATGCTGTTTAAATAACTGCTGATTCTTAGATTCCAAATTGCTGTTTGGATGAATTGGATGAAGCTAAATCTTAATTGTGTGTGTGTGTGTGTGTGTTTGTGTGTGTGTGTGTGTACTTGTGAAAGAATTGAGGTTTTGCTGTTTTATTTTTAAATTATACTAACTTAAGTATCAGTATAAATTATAAACTACATGAGTTTTTTCCCCCCTTAAAGGAAGACTGGAGTGTCAATTACCCTTATCACTAGAAATGATTGGCGGGTTGCCCCTGAATTAATTAATATTCTGGAAAGAGCAAATCAGGTGAGAATATTCAACTCCTTAGAACTCTACTCATACCACTTTTTTCTGACGTTTTCATAAATTCATTTACTCCAAGTACTGGGGCTTCCTGCTTCATCAGGAAAGACATATTGAACAAGTAATGAGGGCAGTAGCATGGCAGAGATAAAGGGCTGTAATGCCACAATGGGGGAACCGAACCTAATGGGGGGGCGCATCACTGAAGACCCTGCTGAAGGAGAATCCGTGCGGTGGGGGCTGGGGGAGCTGTAGAGGAGTGGGGCGCATACTCCAGAAGGGGGCACGTTCAGGCCTGGAGGCGAGACATACAGAAGTGACTGTGAGGCACGTTACAGGCACAGGAAGCAGGGGCTAACAATGAGCATTTTTTAAGATTTATCTGGTTTTACAGTTTGAAGATTCAGAGTTTAATAGTTTAATATGTAAGCAGACACATTTCACTGTTTGAAAGATGTCATAATTTATTTGGAGATTGTCTGAAGTGACTTGGGGGCATTTCACCATTATAGTTAAAGCCATTACCTAAGAAGTCTTGGTCCTAATAGCACATTGACGGTTACAGAGTGTCCCGGAGGGCCTTGTGGCAATGGCTGAGCGATATGAAGCAAACAGACTGAGAAAAGAAGCAGAAAAAAAACTGGGACAACCCCAAGGAAGACCCAGGAAGTTTTATTAATGTCTGTTGAAAGGACTACCAGCCTACATACAGGAGGTAAAATTTCAATGATACGTGGGCTTTCTTCCTCAGCCACGCTGTTAGTGTATTTACTGCAGTCGGCGTTCTCTCTCAATATTAACATAGGTTTTATTCTTTACCTGTTACCTAATTTCAGTTAATGTCTCTTAAGAGTTAGAAGTATTAATTCAGACCCGAGAACAGTTGTACAGAAAGATCATTAGAGTATAATGGAATTGGTGGAGGTAAAGACTGATAGAACCTTCTGAGCAATTTGGTAATGTTCTAATTACAAATATATATTCTGGGCCCAGCAGTTCCTCTTCCAGGAGTATATTCTATAATATGTCTGCATGTACAATTAAGATTTATTGCTTAAATATTTGTAATAGGGAAAGCCAATCACCTAACTGCCCAGCAAGAGGCCATAGGGAATAAATTATGGAGAAAATGTCTTTGCAAACAGTAAATCTGATAAGGGATTAATGCCTACAATATAGAAAATTCAAAACTGAGAAGCAACTATTAAAAAATGGAAAAAGGGCTTGAATAGACATTTCTCCAAAGAAATACATGTGGCCAACAAACCTATGAAAAATTTCTCATCCCCACTAATTGTTAGGGAAAGGCAATCGAAAAGCCAACAATCACCTCACATCCATTAGGATGGCCACTGTAGGATAGCTATTTACAAACTGAAAATAAGTGTTGGCAAGGATGTGGAGAAATTGGAACCTTTTGTTGGTGGGAATATAAAATGGTGTATCCATTATGCAAAATATGACAGTTCCTCAGAGTCCCAAACATAATCAGCAATTCCACTTCTGGGTGTGTACCTAGAATAATTGAAAGCAGAGTACTTGTACACCTGTGTGGCAGCACCTTTGTTCCTGAAATCCAACAAAGGTGGAGGCAACCCAGACGTGAATGAATGGATAAACAAAGTGCTGCGTAAAAGGAAATTCTGACACTACAAACATGGACGAGGCTTTAGTGAAATAAGCCAGTCACAAAAGAACATGCTATACCACTCCACTTACATGAGGTACCTGGAGCAGTCAGTTCGTAAAGCAGGGCAGAAAGGTGTTTGCCAGGAGCTGGTAGGAATGCGGAGAAATTGGGAGTATTTAATATGTGTGCAGTTTCAGTTTTGCAAGAGGAAAGTTCTGGAGATGGTTGTAGAACAGTGAATATACTTAACACTGCTGAACTGTATACTTGGAAATGAGGAGACAGTAAATTATGTGTCTTATTGCAGCTGAAATTTAAAAAGACTGGAACAGCAATTTGTCTTTTTTCTACTAATTTTTCAGAATCTATTCCTTTTTTAGAGACGTACTATTCAAGATGTATGGAAGTATTGAGAACATGCTGACAGTACGAAGAGACTGATTCTTAAAAATAATAGTGTTTAAAAATGCAGAATCAATATTTTATACTTTAATAAAGTCAAAAGTATTTAAACAAATTGAAAATTTTTTCATGAATATTAAGGAATGTAACATTAAAATTTCACTTTTTCCCCTTTTAATTTAAAAAATAAAAGTAACTTTTTGGCTCCCGTAATGTTGCTGTATTAAGGCTAGTCTTTGAAGGGTTTAAAGCTTGTTCAGATGTTGCAATGGCAATGAAAAAGAAGCTGTTAACAAAATAAGAATTTTTTTTAAGAAGACAAACTGATCTCTTGTCTTTCTGAATGGCACTTCAATTTTGTGTTTGCTAAATAGTATTTTATTTGGGGGTACTTTTAAGAGATTAGACTTCACCTGCTTTGAAATGAAACAGCAAAAGGATTTCATGTAACCAAAATATGCAACAGCTGTTTCTTTATATATTAGCCAGTAGTTCCATAAAATAAATCCTAGATGACTTGCATTTCCATGAAAGCTTCTTCGACTAATTATATTCCCCAACTTTACTGATTTGTGTGCAGTGTTCTGTTCCAAACATGATAATTGCTTACATCAACATTTACAATTTGTGCAGGTATTTATATTTGAGTACCATTAGTTAGGCCTTCCTCACCTCATCTCACATTATTCACTCATGCAATAATAGTTTCCTGGGATTACTGATGAGATTAGTAAGAACTGGAGGGAAATAAAGGTAAAAGCAAAAATTAACCAATTAGAAGATACAAAGTTCAGTGAAAGCCAACAGCTGACTCTTACAGTTGACCCATCCAATACACAAATTTCTGGCAAGTCTGGTAAGGGGGAAACAACTCTCCCCGATCTAACTGCCTTAGGAACATAAAGGCATAAAACTGTGAGAACACTGTACATTATGCCAACACATGGGAATTCAGTGCTTGACCCCATTTTGATGCCAGAATTAACTCCGGTAGTTAAGCTGAACAGACTGGACCGAAGAAACGAGGCGATCACTTCCCGGCGGATCACCACGCCTGAGTGAAGCCCACTGGCGCCAGAGGGGAGGGTGGTCTTGTGAGGACGTTCCCCTCTGGCTGCACAGTTGGCTGAGCTAGCCCAAAAGCCTCGAGTGTGGGTGGGACCTGTGACTTGTTCCAGCCAATTAAGTGTGGCGGAGACGATGGAATGTGCACGCGAGGTAGACGTGACACGTGGTCAGGAAGACCAGCGCTCCTCTGCCGGAGCCTCCCTCCCCTGCCGCTCGGAAGCAGCTGCCATGGGGATGCCAGTGTTGGGTCGCATGGCGAGAGTCCCAAGGTGGTTTCTTGCAGCCTGAGGCGACCTCTGGCTGACAGAATTTCCAGGGACTCAGTACTGCCAACAAGGTGGGCCCTTCTCCGGGTCTGCTTCGGGCGGGACTGCAGCCCCAGCTGGTACCCTGACTGTAGCCTGTGTGACTCTGTGCAAAGCCATGCCCAGGATCCTGATGCACAAGAATTGAGATGCCGTCGGTTCGTCTAAGCCACTAAGCTTGTGGTAACTTGTTACACAGCAATAGGAACTTAATACAGCCCCACCCCTTTACCATCACTATCCCTGCAAAGGTACTGACTCTGTGGCCCTATCTTCCCCATATAACTGATCATAATTTCTGTTCCAAACATGATAATTGCTTACATCAACATTTACAATTTGTGCAGGTATTTATATTTGAGTACCATTAGTTAGGCCTTCCTCACCTCATCTTACATTATTCACTCATGCAATAATAGTTTCCTGGGATTACTGATGAGATTAGTAAGAACTGGAAGGAAATAAAGGTAAAAGCAGAAATTAACCAATTAGAAGATACAAAGTTCAGTGAAAGCCAACAGCTGACCTCTTACAGTTGACCCATCCAATACACAAATTTCTGGCAAGTCTGGTAAGGGGGAAACAACTCTCCCCGATGTCTCCCCGATCTAACTGCCTTAGGAACATAAAGGCATAAAACTGTGAGAACACTGTACAACATTATGCCAACACATGGGAATTCAGTGCTTGACCCCATTTGATGCCAGAATTAACTCCGGTAGTTAAGCTGAACAGACTGGACCGAAGAAACGAGGCGATCACTTCCCGGCCGATCACCACGCCTGAGTGAAGCCCACTGGCGCCAGAGGGGAGGGTGGTCTTGTGAGGACGTTCCCCTCTCGCTGCACAGTTGGCTGAGCTAGCCCAACAGCCTCGAGTGTGGGTGGGACCTGTGACTTGTTCCAGCCAATTAAGTGTGGCGGAGACGATGGCATGTGCACCCAAGGTAGACGTGACACGTGGTCAGGAAGACCAGGGCTCCTCTGCCGGAGCCTCCCTCCCCCGCCGCTCGGAAGCAGCTGCCGTGGGGATGCCAGTGTTGGGTCGCATCCCAAGGTGGTTTCCAGCAGCCTGAGGCGACCTCTGGCTGACAGAATTGCCAGGGACTCAGTACTGCCAACAAGGTGGGCCCTTCTCCGGGTCTGCCTCAGGCGGGACTGCAGCCCCAGCTGGTACCCTGACTGTAGCCTGTGTGACTCTGTGCAAAGCCATGCCCAGGATCTTGATGCACAAGAATTGAGATGCCGTTGGTTCGTCTAAGCCACTAAGCTTGTGGTAACTTGTTACGCAGCAATAGGAACTTAATACAGCCCCACCCCTTTACCATCACTATCCCTGCAAAGGTACTGACTCTGTGGCCCTATCTTCCCCATATAACTGATCATAATTTTGGTAAGATTAATAGTCAATGGTTATTACTTTGACCTCATAAATACAGCTGAGCAACATTCTCAAATGAGACGATGATTACTCTCCTTGCACATTTTTTCCTGGAGTTAAAGGTGGCTTAGGTTTTGTTTACTTAGTTTTCTATTTATTCATTGTTCCCCAAAACTCTCCAACTGTTTAACTTTTCTTAGTATGTTCAAACACAGGTTGTTAACAGGATAAAACCATAAAGAAAAGACTGATAAAATCAATTACATTAAAAATTTTAACCCTTGTTTACTAAAAGCAAAAATGGTAAAGATAATCTACACAGAGAGAAGTTGTTATATAGACAACCAACAAAGTACAAGTATCTAAAATACATTAAAAAACTTGTACAAGGCAAAGAAAATGATAAAAGAGCCAATAAGAAAATGTGCAAACTATACAAACAGGAAAAAGTCAAACAGCAGCCACCTCTGGGTTGGTCACAGCCTGTGCGTGAGGCGGGACATTTATTCCCTATCTGTGTCTACGTTTTGTGCCATGTGCATATGTCGCCTTTTCAGAAGTATAAAAGTGTTACTGAAAATGAAATGTTTTATATTTGGCCACATGTGTTAAAGTACTGTTTTCCTAAAAAATTATGAATTTCCTGAGACATGTAGAGACAATGTAGAAGTTATTTTTTCATTCCCTTTTTGCCTGTCCTAACGCATAGGACAGAACACTGCTTCCAAATCTGTATGTTGAACAACGCTTCCCAGTCTCACGGAGGCAATGATCATCTCTAATACTGTCTCTGTGACCACCCACACTTCTGTGCCAGGTCAAAGTGCTTGATGGATTCAATTCAGGTGGAAGGTATTCTGTCATTTTCATTCCAACTGGGCAAGCCTTTTAGATTTTACATACTCCTTGCTTCTGATTCCATGACTATTCTCTTTCCTAGGAGAACTGATACTGTTATACTGATTAGAGTTTATTAAAAAAGAGAGTGAGGGGGGAGCCCAGTAAACATAATGTTCTTCATGTAATTATAGATTAATGATACCAAAATAAAAAAAAAAAGGGACAGAGCTGAATAATCACTTACATTCATTTTGTCAGTCATGGACGCAACAAATTTCAAACATTCCAATTATCATGAAGTGACTGATTCTTGATTCTTTCTAAAAATGTAACTTCAAAATTCATCAAAAACTGGAAATCCATTCTTTCATATTCAATTATCTTTGAAATTGAAATTGAAATTATATTTCAATTTGCTTTGAAATTATTTATTTTTCAATTTGGTCCTGAGAGAATAAATTGACTCCAGGGACAAAATAATGCTTACAGTTCTCTGTCTTGAGGCACTGGAGAAAGTATGTCACACAGTTTCCAAAGCAGAGTTCCAGACCTTCGGAGTGCCACTGCCTGCCGTGTGCGTTCTGGGCGCCTAAGTGAAAGAAGGCAGTTTCTGCATAACGGAATTTACCTACTTCCTTTTGATTCCCAAACTTTTTTCCAATTGTTCTAAAAGACATTTCATCAGCTTTAAACATATCTTTAATGTTGAATTAAAAAAAGATAATTTATTTTTACTTACTTACAACCTGCTTCATTCCACAAAGAGCTTTAGGTATCTTATAGGAAAAATATATGAAGATGTAATAAGCGATACAGACACTATATGTAAAAAGATACAAAAAACAATATATAAATAATATAATGATGAAGTCACTCTAAAACCTGACTATTCTTTCAAATACATGCTTTCAAGTTTCAAAAACACTTTTTTTCTTCCCTCTTCCCCATTCCTAGCTTAAGTATTTTAGTCAGGATTAACTCAACTGTACAAAACTGGCACATATTTATATCATTCATCTCATGACTTAGCACCTAGAAAAGTCTTTTAATTTTCATAAAATGATTTTGCCTTTTTAGGCTGTAAATACATTATTCACCCAGCAACTTAGCAGTCAAAAAAACTCAGTGTTTATAAAATAATTTAACCTTGTCAGCAATATTTTTCTTAATGCTCGCTTCAGCGCCTGCATAAGAAGCCTTCAAGAGCCTCTTGTGCCCGCATTTTGGGCATTCTTTTTTTTAATGAACTATAGTTGGTACACAGTATTATATTTTATATATAGTGTTTGACAAAGGGCATTCTCTTTTCACTTTTGTGACCCTTATACTGCACAACTTCAGAAACCTTTTCAGTCTCAGTTCTTCATGTGCATATGCTACCGAGATAAAGAATTATCAGGAGTTCGTTGCTTATTTACTTATTTACTATATGCTCAGTGTTACTTCAAGTTTAGCCAGCTGGTTCCCGGCCTTTGATGCAGCCAAACTATTTCAAAGAAAGCCCCAGGATGCAGTAAGAGCGATCCTTTGAGACAGGGACCGCGGATTTAGGCAGAGTAGAATGAGGGCTTCCGGTGGGGGCGGGGGGAGCACAGCAAGGTAATTATAGCCAGAACAATGTGACAATGTGCGAAGAAGTCCCTATGAAAACTCTGTGTTGAGCATTATGCAAAGTCAGAGTCACACTAATTCTCTAGGGTAAAGATACAAGACTGGGAATATAGACATCAGTGAGATCAGTTAAAGCTCAAAGGCCAGGAGCAACTTGGCCTGGAATGTTGGAGTGTTCCGCAAATAAGGAAGGGCATCTCAGCATTACCAGTGACTTCACTGTATCAACTATAAACACCCCTAGCAAACAGACAACAACCCAGCCCACCTTGGGGGCAGGGCAGGTGGTACAAGTCTGCACCCCTCGCCCTTGACCCACATTCCTGAAAATCCTCCTCGACTGTAAATCCCCTAGACCAGTACCATCGCAGGCTCTCTTGTCCCCTCCTGGTGTGAGCTCCGTCCTCTCACTGTATCTCTAAAGAAAAGCCTCTCCCTGGTTCTCCGACCTTGGGTGTTTGCTAAGTTCATTCTTTGACTCTGCAAACAAGAACCCCAGCATCACTTTGACCTCCTGCAATCTTGTGACAATATTCATTACCTTGAAGCAACCAGAATACTAAGCCACATCCAGCTGTCATGGCTGGTGCTCACACCCCCTCCCTCTGTCCTTCACACCCCTCAGACATTTGTCTGATACAGGTTCAGAACTATGTGCTCTGGCCGAGCCTTCTAACAAGCTTTCTTGGTCCCTTGGACCTGGCATCCCTGGTTTCATGCTCACCCTCCAGGTAAAACTCCAGGTCTGCCCAGCCACGCACTGGCCCCAGGACTCAGCCCAGCAGTGATCATCTTCAGGTTTGAACTACAGAGTCAACCAAGAAACATTCTGTAGATAAGCCACCATTTCACAAAATCAGGAAGTTATGCTCAACATTCCACTACATCAATTTCACAGCACATTTTAGATTAGCCATGATTTTTCAAAATGTCCTTTTCAGTGTGAGAAATGGATAGCTGCCATGAGTCTATACTGATGTAAATGAGTGAGCAAATAAATAGGGAAGAAACAATCTCCCATTAAGAAGAATTTCAAATTATCTATAATCTGCTCTTTGAGGTGGAGCCTAACTCCTCGCTCCCTAAGTGTGTGCTGTGCACAGCGTCTTCCTTCTAGACGCACAGTATGAAAGGGGCAGAAACGTCACTCAACAGTGCAGAAACGTGACAGGCACTGCCTCAGCCAGGCGGTCGGGCCCACATCGGTGCTGCTCAGGTAAGGTCGCGGCAAGGCCCCTTGATACGGTGCAAAGAGAATGGCCCTTTACCCCCGTGGCCTCCCCGCAATCCTGTGACTCCAGTCTCAGCATGAGGAAAACACCAGACTCATGCCAGATGAGGGACACTCTACAAACATCCCTGATCAGTATTGCTCAGAATCGTCATGGTTATCAACGACAAAACTGAGAAACTGCCCCAGCCTGGAGGAGCCGAGGGTGAGATGATGATGTGATATGGGGTCCTGGGGCAGAAAAAGGGCAATGGGTGAAAACTAAGGAAATCTGAATCAGGTATGAACTTTTTAGTATCAGTATTACTTCATTAATTATGACAAATGTATAATATTATACAAGTTGTTAATACAGCTGACCCTTGAACAACACTGGTTTGAACTGTGTGGATCCACTTACACTAAGCGGTTTTTTTTTTCTCAGTGAGCATACTAGAAAATTTTTTGGAGATTTGCAACAATTTGAAGAAACTTTTTTTTCTCTTGCTTACCTTGTTAGAAGAATACAGTAGTATATAATACATACAACATACAAAATATGTTAACCATTTATGCTATTGGTAAGGATTCTGGTCAATAGTAGGCTATTAAGTTTTTGGGGAGTCAGTTATAGGTAGACTTTCAACTTTTGCAAGGGGGGTTTAGCACCCTTTACTCCTGTGCTGCTCAAGGGTCAACTGTATCAGGGAAATACGTATGGGGTATATGGGAACTCTGTGTGCTACCTTTGCAATTTTTCTGTACATCTAAAACAGTTCTAAATTTTGAATCTATTTTAAAATACTACATCAAGATCACTTCTCACTATTTGGATTATTGGCAAAAATTCAAAGTTTAACGAGTTCTGCTGATAAGGCTGAGGATGAGATAGGTATTTTCATACACTGCTGTGGGAAAGCAAATTGATGCAATCCCCATGGAGGCATTGTATCAATATCCAGCAAAAACACAAATGGATTTACTCCTTGACTGGCTGTAAAAATAAACTAAAAAGGAATGGGTGCTATCTCTATACAGAGCTATGGAGTGACATCCAGGAAGTTTTAAGTAAAAAAAAGAAAGGTATGTTTTTTATCTTAGAAAGGGGATTAGCATACGAATATGTACTTACTTATACTCGTTAAAAATGAAAGGTAAAGAAAACAACAAAGGATTTCTGATCAGAGGAGAGGGAGGAGTATGAGAGGATGTGAATGGAAGCTATGTTTCTTTGAAACACCTTTTTCTACAGCTCCGACTTCAGAACCACATGGATGCTTTATAAATTTATGAAACAAAACTAAACCAAAATTTAAAATCTAGTATCTAAAATTAGAAACTATAATGAAACAAATGAATTTAACTAAGTTGGGTGGGAGGCTAGACCACCTGAAGAGATATTTTCAAGTGGGTCTAACCTCAATTTTGACTGTCCTTTACCTGAAGAACAAAGGAAGCACAGAGACCTTAAGCGTTTTTTAAATACACTGTACCCTTGGGGATACTACTGGTGCGAGTTTGAAACAGGTAAAAAGAGTAAAAAAAACAAATTTGAAAATTTTAATTAAAAGTCAAATTATTTTTAAAAGCATAGCTTGTGAGACCAGCAAATTTCTAGTGAAATGTCAGGAAAGGGAGAAGAACTGGTGTTGGCAGGGTCTCCGATCGAGCACAGATGTTTTCACCGGTGATTTGCCCCTGTCCAGCCATTCGGACGTGCAGGCGTGGACACATGCCCACGCACGCCCACACGCAAGGTGTTTTGCCTGAATAGAGACAATATGGGATGACGAGAGCGGGAGAATAAATGGCCAAGGGTGAGCCGAAAGGGCAGAGGTCGGTCAGCACCCATCAGCAGCCTCCACTCCCACCTTGACGCAAGGATGTGAGGAACTACACTTTGCGGAGCCACCCGGCCACTGAGGGCCTCTTTCTCATCCCTGATCTGACCTGTCCCCCAGGCCTCCTCCCAGTCAGTCAGAGGAGGGCCAGCCAGGGGGTGGGCTGCGTGCTGCTGAGATCTCTGTGAGGGTTTCCTGGGGCAGCTATTCTAGAGATTGTTCAGGATGCAAGCTGTCTTTGCAGAAAGGGATTTACGAACCCATGAATGATGATAGATGTAATTCCCTCTTATAAACAACTTTTCTCGCGGAAAATGACTCCTGCATAAGTTGTGACGGGCGTCCACAGAACACAAGCCAACACACTGAGCACCGGTGACCGTTTCTGGGATTTGCTCAGCGATACTCACCGTAACTGCGCTCGTGTTTCATGAACCCCCTCCAATTCCCCTGGACTGCAGCAGAAGCAGGTACCCAAAATCCTTATACAAATTGATGAGAAAAAGATAATAAGCTTATTTTTTTCCGCCACTGGAGAGAATCCACCATTATTCGTTTTCGTCTGTGGAACTAACTCAGCTCGGTTTTTGGAACTTGAAAGCACCGCCTGAAACCCTGTCCTTACCCGTGAGGCGGAGGACACGACGGGCGAGAAGCAAACGGGACCGGGGGCCCTGCAGCAAATGCAGGGGGGCAGTGCACGGGGAGGAGGGGGGAGGGGGAAGTATGGCTGCGAATGAGCCAGGCCCTGATAACAGTAACAGAGAACTGCCGCGCACTGAACAAGGTTTTTACATATACTGCCTCATTTTTACCTTCCAGAATCAAGCAGCGTTGATGAACCCAGTAAATACAGGGGTAAAGAGGCTTAGAGAGGCTTGGTAAGCAGCCCAAGATCATACAGCTGGAGAGAGAAGACGCCTCAGGATTCAAATCTGAGGCGGCCTGACTCCAAGGCCACTACTGCCTTTCTTTGTGGAAAACAAACAAAAAATAACATCAACATGAAGTTTAGTAGACATTTTAAAGCTGAATATTTGATATTACTACAACTATACCCTTTCCAATTCCGTCTCTCACCAAACTCCCTTCTTGTAGCCTATTTAGCAAAGGCTCTGGAAATGCCAGCAGCATGTGCTGATTTTTACTGCCCTAGAACATAACATTAACAACTCTTCCGTATGTTCTTAAGTTAACCTACATTTTTAAGATAGCTTGGAGACCATCTCCTTCCTTCCCATGCTCGGGTACCAGGTGACATGGCTGTCATCTTAGACTGCTCTTAACTTTTGTTCCAAGCCAGTTATTGCTGGACAGAACTTCCAGGGTGCTAGCAGGCCAGCTGCTTTTAGATTGCAAAGCCAGGATTATATCCATAGATATTTCTGTATGCTGCAATACCGGCCTACCTCAAGAAAGAAGAACAATCCCATATGAACAGTCTAAATTAACAATTAACGTAACTAGAGAAAGAAGAACAAATGAGGCCCAGAGTCACTAGGAGGAGGGACATAATAAAGATTACAGCATAAATAAATAAAATCGAGAAGAATAAAACAATAGAAAGAATCAATGAAAACAGGAGCTGGTTCTTCAAGAAAATAAACAACATAGATAAACCCCCAGCCAGACTTACCAAGAAAAAAAGAGAGTCTACACACAGAAACAGAATAAAAAATGAGAAAGGAAAAATCACTACAGACACCACAGAAATACAAAGAATTATTAGAGAATACTGTGAAAATTATATGCTAACAAACTGGATAACCTAGAAGAAATGGACAACTTTCTAGAAAAATACAACCTTCCAAGGCTGACCCTGAAAAACAAAATCTGAACAGACTAATTACCAGCAACGAAATTGAATTGATAATCAAAAAACTACCCAAGAACAAAATCCCTGAACCAGATGGCTTCACTGCTGAATTTTATCAAACATTTGGTGAAGAGCTAATACCCATCCTCCTTAAAGTTTTCCAAAGAGTAGAAGAGAAGGGAATACTTCCAAACTCATTCTATGGGATCAGCATCAACCTAATACCAATAACAGGCAAAGACACCACAAAAAAAGAAAATTACAGACTAATATCCCTGATGAACACAGATGCAAAAATACTCAACAAAACATTAGCAAACCAAATTCAAAAATACATAAAAAAGATCATCCATCATATTCAGGTAGGATTTATTCCAGTGATGCAAGGTTGGTACAGTATCAGAAAATCCATCAACATCATCCACCACATCAACAAAAAGGACAAAAACCACATGTTATCTCCATAGATGCTGAAAAAGTATTTGAAAAAATTCAACATCCATTCATGATAAAAACTCTCAACAAAATGGGTATAGAGGGCAAGTACCTCAACATAATAAAGGCCATATATGATAAACCCACAGCCAACATAATACTTAACAGCAAGAAGCTGAAAGCCTTCCCTTTAAGATCAGGAACAAGACAAGGATGCCCACTCTCTCCACTTTTATTCAACATAGTTCTGGAGGCATTCGCCACAGCAATCAGACAACACGAAATAAAAGGCATCCAGATTGGTAAAGAAGTTAAACTTTCACTGTTTGCAGATGACATGATATTGTACATAAAAACCCTAAAGACTCCACTTCAAAACTACTAGATCTAATATCTGAATTCAGCAAAGTTGCAGGATACAAAATTAATACATGGAAATCTGTGGCATTTCTATACACTAACAATTAACTAGCAGAAAGAGAAATCAGGAAAACAATTCCATTCACAATTGCATCAAAAAGAATAAAATACCTAGGAATAAACCTAACCAAGGAAGTGAAAGACCTATACTCTGAAAACAATAGGGAAATGACAGCCTCTTCAACAATTGGTGTTGGCAAAACTGGACAGCTACATACAAGAGAATGAAACTGGATCATTGTCTAACCCCATACACAAAAGTAAACTCAAAATGGATTAAAGACCTGAATGTTAAGTCATGAAACCATAAAGCTCTTAGAAGACAACATAGGCAAAAATATCGTGAATATAAACAGGAGCAACTTTTTTCTGAATGCATCTCCTCGAGCAAGGGAAACAAAAGCAAAAATGAACACGTGGGACTACATCAAACTAAGAAGCTTCTGTACAGCAAAGGACACCATCGACAGAACAAAAAGGCATCCTACAGTACGGGGGAATATATTTATAAACAACATATCCAACAAGGGGTTAACATCCAAAATATATAAAGAACTCACACGCCTCAACACCCAAAAAGCAAATAACCTGATTAAAAAATGGGCGGATATGAACAGACAATTCTCCAAAGAAGAAATTCAGATGGCCACCAGGCACATGAAAAGATGCTCCACATCACTAATCATCAGGGAAATGCAAATAAAAACCACAATGAGATATCACCTCACACCAGTAAGGACGGCCAGTACCAAAAAAGACTAAGAACAACAAATACTGGCGAGGATGTGGAGAAAGGGGAACCCCTCCTACACTGCTGGTGGGAATGTAAGCTAGTTTAACCATTGTGGAAAGCAATATGGAGGTTCCTCAAAAAACTAAAAATAGAAATACCATTTGATCCATGATTCCACTCCTAGGAATTTAACCAAAGAATGTAATTTCTCAGATTTAAAAAGACATCTGTACCCCTATGTTTATCGCAGCACTATTTACAATAGCCAAGATATGGAAACAACCTAAGTATCCATCAGTAGATGAATGGATAAAGATGTGGTACATATACACAATGGATACTATTCAGCCATAAGAAAGACAATTCCTACCATTTGCAACAACATGGATGGAGCTGGAGGATATTATGCTCAGTGAAATAAGCCAGACAGAGAAAGACAAGTGCCAAATGATTTCCCTCATTTGTGGAGTATAACAATGAAGCAAAACTGAAGGAACAAAACAGTAGCCTGGCGCTGGCCATGCTACTCATGCTGTGTATAAGGTCCAGGCACAGGGAGGAATCCTGAAAGTCAAGAAACCTCACAGCTGGCCCCTGCTAGTCCCTGTATTTGTTTTTGCAGTTATGATGCTAATAATTGGATTCATGTACGGGAAAATTTTCATGACAAATATTTTGACTAACAATCTGGCCCTCGTAGAGGAGAATAATCTGACCCAAAGCTATGATCAAAATAATAGTGCTCCGGGACCTACTGTCCCAGGCACACTGACACAAACAATTATTTTAGAACAACCTGAAATATTCACAGAATTAGATACGGCCTGTCCCCCCTTTTGCAATAACACAAACATGACTAATGAAGAGTTCTTTACTGGATTGGCTAAGAAAGAATTATGGGAACCTGGGCCATGGGAAATCCCATTTTTATTAGAAAGTTATATGAAACAGCAAAGTGAAACTAAAAAAGATCCAATAATCTCCACAGTTCAGGGGCCTCCCCATGTTGTTTATAAAATAAGGGGACGCCTCAGGTATCCACCCAGGGGAAAGAAGTCAATGGGCAAAATAGACAGATGGACATTTACAGATATCCCTTACACAGGAATTTATGATGAAAACATAATAAAATACTATTACATCAATGGCAAAGTAGTACATGCAGACTCTCTGTCACTATATGAGAGGATGAAAAGAGCTAGGAAACCATGCTGCCTATGGACGTGAGAGGAAAGATGCAAGGAGTTAAAAATGTGGAATAATTATTATGACAGAATAAAATGTTTATACTGTATACGGAAATTAGATCCAGATTGTGAGGGCCCAAACCTTAAAATAGGATGGGGATGGATAGATAACTTGGGTGTAAACGAAGTGGCAGACAATGAGTATAAGATAGTAGTATCTTAGAAAATAATCTTATAACCTGAGTATCTTATAACCTTAGATTCTAAATATGAACTATATAAGTAAACTTTATATATAACCTCACACGCTTAAAAGCAAAAGCAGATGTTATAAACCACACGCTGTCACAGACCATTTTCCTGTCTAGCACCTAGCATGTAACCTACATCTGTAGCCAAAAAAGTTAGGGAAAGTTAAACATTAAATGTTACAAAGAAGCTGTTCAAAGAAATGGTAACATCTATAATGAGCCGGAATTATACAAAAACTGAAGGGAAAAAACATTGTATCATCCATGATCAAAGAAAATGTTCAACATTATGTAAGACCTAAAAGATACAAAATAAAGACCCTGCCACTTGATGTTGGGAGATACTACACGCTGAGGCTGAGTCTCGTCTCCTCCTTCGCCGACGCTGTCCTTGCCTTCCACACCTCGGCTGGAGCTGGACTCCGGCAGTAGCGGACTCAGACTCCAAGAAGGGACTAGCAGTTACCAAAGGGGAGGGGTGGGGGAGGGCGAGTGGGGAGGGAGGGAGAAGGGGACTGAGGGGCATTATGATCGGCACACAGGGTGTGGGGGGATCATGGGGAAGACAGTGTAGCACAGAGAAGGCAAGTAGGGACTCAGTGCCATCTTACTACACTGATGGGCAGTGACTGCAATGGGGTGTGGGGGGACACGATCACAGGGGGGAATGTAGTAACCACATTGTCTTTTCATGGGAAACTTTCCTAAGAGTGTATATCAATAATACCTTTTAAAAAAGCAGGTATTTTCAAATCTCAAAAAAATATATATATATATAAGAACTCTAATAGTTAAAACTTAATTAAAATTGAATGCTGACTACAGTGTGATGAGGTATTCTTACAGTTAGTGCAACCTGCCACCAAGTTTTTAGAAGCTTAGTGGTTATCAGAAATTTGAACAGTGAGGTCCTTTTACCTAGTGTTTTCACTTACGGAAAGAGCCCCGTAAATTTAAAACGTGTATGTTTTACCACCGCACTTAGACGTGGTGGTGGTCGGCGGAGGACATGCGGGGACCGAGGCGGCCGCAGCCTCCGCCCGGTGATCATAATATAAAAAATCAGAAACAATACAAATGTCCAGTAATTGGAGTTGTTCAAATAAGTCTTGGCTCACATAAAATATTAAATACCAAGTACTACTAAAAACAGTTATATTCACATATGCTGGGATGGAAAGAGTAAAAAACATCGTTTAAAAAGTAGAAGCAAACTTAAAAACAATATTATATGTTCAAAATAATAGGGTTAGTACATCACGGTATAACGCTGTGACTTCCGGGGTGGGGTTTGGAAGACCTGACGCAAGTTACGGGTTAACTCAGACGTTTTGCGTTTCTGTAAGGTTTAAAGTGTGTGTAAAGAACGCTTATTATTAATATAAGATAATAAAGTTGTATATTTGATAAGATTTAAGTGATCGGAATAAAGCCGGCGCAGAGGCTGCTCCGCGGGCCCAGCACGGAGGGTCTCCTCGCCGGGTAGGCGGCGCGCGTCTCACCCGCAAAGGCCGTCCGCTCCCCCCACCGGCCCCGGGCATCTGCGTCCCCAAGCGCGCGGCGACTCCTTTCGACTCCCCTCCTGCAGGCCGCGGTGTTTCCACAGACGGCGGCCCCGGCGGCCGTGCGCCAGACGCCCGGGCAGCAGGCCGAGCCAGGGGATCAGGGCCTCTGCGGCGGCCGGCCGACGACCGGGCCGCCCCTCCTCGGGACGGACGGCAGCCCCCGACAGGGCCCCGACGCGCCCGCGCCGCGCCTGTGTCCGCGCTCGCTCGGCCCGCGGCGTCGCGCCAGACCGCACGTCATGGCGACGCCGGGCGCGGACAGCTGCGCCGTGACGTCAGGGAAGATGGCCGCGCCCGGGAGCCGTCGCCTCGGGCCCTGAGCCTCCGCGTGGCTTCCGGTGCGGAGAGCGAGCGCTGGCCTTTCTCCCGCCATGTTCGCGCTCCGAGGTGGCGGCCGCTGGCTCGCGGGCCCCTTCCCCGGGCGGCCCCGGCCGGCGGCCCCGTGCAGCGGGCACAGCGCGGCGCCCCGCGCTCCGCACTTCGACGTGGTGGTGGTCGGCGGAGGACATGCGGGGACCGAGGCGGCCGCAGCCTCCGCCCGGTGCGGGTCGCGGACCCTGCTGCTCACGCACCGGGCCGCCGCCATCGGTGAGGAGCGCGCGGCCGCGGGCTGGCGGGAGGGCGCGGCCGGGCCCCGCGGGCGCTCCCCGGCCTCGCCTGGACGCGGGCGAGGCGTCCTCTGGCACATCAGGCGTTGCTGCGACTCCGCCCGCATTTTGCTGAGGCGTGAACAGTAATTGGAACATTAAGTGTGTCTTGTAGAGACTGAATAAATCATGTTTGTATAGTGAAATACTTTTTCAAGACTACCATTCAGCTCATAACTGCAGAGAAACACTGTTCACTGCTGTTCTTTAGAGTGAGGTTAGATGGTTACCCGAGAGATTACACTTTGCTTACCATACACTTCAGTGTTTCCATTGAAATAAAAAAAGTAGAAGGGATTACCTTTCAAAAACAAACGAAACTCTAATGAAAAAAGTATTGCTGCACTAAGATGATCATTCAATAGTATAATGTTCTATCAGGGATGGAGGGCCTCCCGCCAAAACCCGTATTCATGTTCTGCCAACGCAATACGCTCAAAGATTCTTCTTAAGTAAATAACATTTCAGAGATACTTTAATAACTTATATAGATGAGCTTAATGAATGGCCATCTAAAAGTGTCATTTGTTAAGGTAATTTGATACAGTAGTGAAGTATCAAGATTCTTATTTCCGCTTGGCCTCGGAAGGATAGTTTTGGCTTAGAAGGGTGAACTTGCATAAAAATACAGGTTGCAATTACGATTGGCACCCTTAATGTGGGGGTGCGGGGCACTGGGAAGGCAGTACAGCACAGAGAAGACAAGTAGTGACTTTATAGCATCTTACTACGCTGATGCACATGACTAATGGGGTATGCGGTGGGGACTTGGTAATGGGGGGAATCTAGTAACCACAATGTTTGCTCTTGTGATTTACATTAATGATACCAAAAAAAAAATACAGGATGCAACAATTGTCCGTGTGATTTAGTCATATCATCTGCCAATAATGAAGTCAGAGGCAGAAAATCTATTTTATAGTAATCTGGAAAATCACTCTTTTTGGCAAATTATTTTTGCCTTTCGGATGAAAGAGAAAAGCTCTCAGAGCCTTTTTATTCTGTTCTATATTTTAACCCAGGTTCCATTGTGTATCAACTGGGTAACCGTGGACAAGGGACAACTAATTTAAACTTCAGTTTCTTTATGAAATAGAAATGCTAGTGCCAACTGCATTGGGTCAGAAAATGCATGCAGATCGTCTGGAACAGTGCCTGGCCCACACCAAGTGATAAGATGTTAACTATTTGACTGTAAGTTTATCCTTTAGTAGAGTGGAAAATGGACTGATTTATACATTTCTACTACCACTGTCCATCCCAATTACTAATGCCATACTTGAAATGTTAATAGCCTGTACTTCAGAGCACAGATAACAAATAGACTTTCTTATTCCAACTCCAAATGATTGGGAATAAATGCTGGCTTCCTGGAGTTGTATGTTGAGAAAGATTTTGAGGGCTGAGCAAAAGAGTGGCATATTCAGATTTTATGCCTATAAGGAGAGGGGCTCAATGCTAATATAATATATTTCTTTGAGAAAAAGTTTCCAGCAATCTGAAAAGATGAGGATTTCTTTGCACTTGAATTTCACAAACGTAAATTTTATAAATTTGTATATACTAATTCAATAATGTGGCTAGAAGTAGTTTAGTTTTGAGATGTGAGGAAGTGGTGGAATTCCAATAATTCTTAGGTTTTTTTTTTTGTTCTGTATATGAGGAGACATTTCTGGGTATGAAGGTTTGAGAAAAATGTCAAATTAGGTTCAGAGATTTTAAAAAATCAACTGATTAAAGGCTAAGTCATACTGAGGAGTAGCAACATCTAAAATAGGGATCAAAAATTTAGATGCTACAGGAACTAAATGTGTGAAGCTAGGTAGAAAATAGCAAGAAGCAGCAGGAACATTGGTGAGCTGGAAAATACATTCCCATTCATTGTTTTGTTTTAACAAAAGCCTTATGTGTAGCAAACAATATCATAGCAAACCCCTGGGCTATGACCTCTGATCTAAAGGTATCTGAGATGTGTCTTGTCTAAAGATGGGAAAAGGATTACTTATGATTGGTACAGAGTAGTAGGAAAAAAAATTGTACTTGGTGATGTCATTCCACATTTCTAGTTTATATTTTGGTTACTTATTCCTTAAAAACAAGTGTTTCAGGTGTGATTATGTTATCTCCTCCCTTCCCCAAGGATTTCAAAAAGACCTTGTCTGGAATACTTACAGATGATAATGATATAGGCGATATGCCTAGGAGAGAAGGAAATGGGTAGAGCTATGAAAGACATGAGGTTGGAGAGGGTGAGGGTATTATGCTCAGTGAAAAACATGAGGTTGCACCTGAGTCAGTAATTAGGGATTCATTATACTAGTCTCTCTACTTCCTATCCTTTAATAAAATATTTTAACATTTGTATGTGAAATAATATGTTGAATTAGAAATTCAGGAGTGCAAATTTGTTGCTTCCATATAAACTCAAGGATAGGGTAAATATTCACTCTTTATGCTCATTGTTTTTTTTTAAATTAAGGTATCATTAATATACAATCTTATGAAGGTTCACATGAGCAACAATGTGGTTTTAACATTCACACGTATTATCAAGTCCTCTGCCAAATGCTTATTGATTTTATACAAAGGGTATGGAGCACTTTTCTAGTATAACTAAGGATACTTATGTAAATAGTAATATTTCACATGTTTGAGCAAATAAAGTAGACTTTTTATGTTGGTGGTGATGGGAAATTATTTGTGATTAAAAATAAATGCAAAAAAACCAATGCAAAGAAATTACGTGATTTTTAAAAAGTGAAGATCAGAAACAAAGTATGTTTTACACTGATTTGAGAAACATTAAAATCATTATTCATAAATACTATTTATTGCATATTCTATGCCAGACATTGTGCTAACTGCTTTATGTACACTCATTTGCAAGTAACAAATTCTTATTCAATTAGTTTAAACAAAAAGGAGAATTTATTTTCTAACAAGAAGTCTGAAGTTAGATCAGCTCTAAGGTTGGGTAATTCAGCAGTTCACAGTGTCCAAGGATTCAGATCCCACCCATAGCTCCATTATGCCCTTCTTGGATTGTCTGTAAACTAGCTGTCCTCATGGTTGCAAAGTGTCTGTAGTAGTTTCAAGTGTCACATCCAAACAGGACAACTTTCAACAGCAAAAGGTTTTTCACCCTCCCTGTGTCTTTTTAAAGAGGAAAAAATATTTTCCTAGAGACCTAGAGTTATATTGAATTTTCCTACCCCTTCCACCGTCATAAAAACCTTAGAGGTAACCACATGAGTTTAAACCTCCAAATAAGACCAGGGGAATTTAAAGAGAAGGTTTCTTCTTTTGGGAAGCTTATAATTTAATTATTTCTGCAAAATAAGCAAAAAGAAAACAGCAGATGGCACTTATGGAAGACACAATTGATTGTAATAGTGAACTAGTGCCTAAGGACTTCTTGAAAGTATGCTTGATTTCATGAAGTGAGGATTTCAGAGCCACATTGCAACCTAATGACATAGTAAAAGTATGCATCAAGGATAAGATTCAAAAGAAACTACAGGCAATGATCTTGTCTTTCAGGAGGCCCTGAATAACTCTTGCTTTCCCACAGGGGCTTTGGAATTTTCTTTTTAGTGTTTGTTTGAAGTTTTTAAGATTTTTTATGAAATAATTCTGATTAGTTGTACAGACATTTCCCTATTAAACACTATGTGCAAGGTGCTCATGTTTTTAGTTTATGTCTGTTCTTTTTAGGCCAGATGTCCTGTAATCCTTCCTTTGGTGGCATTGGAAAAGGGCATTTAATGAGAGAAGTTGATGCCTTGGATGGCCTGTGTTCGCGAATCTGTGACCAGTCTGGTGTGCATTACAAAGTATTGAACCGGCGTAAGGGACCAGCAGTTTGGGGTCTGAGAGCTCAAGTTGATAGGAAACTCTATAAGCAGAACATGCAGGTAAGAATACGGCACAAAAGCAGGAGAGGTTGAAGTGAGTATGTAACCATTATATTTCAACCTGCATTCTTTTCTGACAGAGAGAAATCCTAAATACACCGCTGCTAACTGTTCAGGAGGGAGCTGTGGAAGATCTTATCCTTACAGAGCCGGAGCCTGGGCACACTGGAAAGTGCCGTGTCAGCGGCGTGGTTCTGGGTATGTACTGGTGAGAGGTGGTAAGAACCTCATCAGAGGCCATGTGAGAGACTTCTGTTAGAGCCGACTGTGGAGACGTTTTGCTTATTCTAGAAAACTTGTGTTTTCTCTTCACGGGTCAGGAAAACTATAAAAAGTCATAATTCATTTGGACCTACATGAAGCTCAGACAAAATGTGGGTTCATCTGCACCATCTTAATGTTAGGACTTTATAACCTGCATAATTGTCTTTTTCTCCTGGTCTTTATGTCATGATTTTTATTTTTCTTAGTTCTGACTTTACAATTTTTTAATTTGTAATTAAAGTTCATTATATTTTTTCCAAAGAGTTATGTATTTTTTAAGTCAAAATAACACAGGTGCAGAATTTTTATAAAAATCAAATAGAATTAAAACTTTTATACCATAAATGTTGGTTGATAGTATTTATGGTATTATGATTATTTAATTGTTCACTGCAGATCCAAGTAGTGTGTCATGTTTATTTCCTATACCTCTTTGTTTTGCCTTGGGTTTGTAATTGCTTTCCATTTGCTTATTTTATCTTTGTACTTGTTCAACTTTTAGAGAAAAAAAACTCATTTTCTCAATCCTAAAATAATTATCAATTATGTTTTTTCTTTGATGCTTCCCTCTCAGAGACACTGACTTCCACAAGCCCCAACAATCTGCTATAATCAGGACATTTGCTCTCTGTGCTTCTGCACAGATGTCCTTGTGAGACTGCCTTTCAGTGCCTTGCTGTGTTGCAGCACCCCTTGTTTCCTGGGCCCCCAGCTGGTGTCGATTTTACTACCTCATTTTGCTGGAGTACATCTTTCAGCTTCCTAAGAAAAGATTCATGGGAAGTAGGTTTTTTGAGTCCTTGCATATCTAAATATGTGTTCTACCCTTAGGCTTGACTCATAATTTTCTTGAGAATAGAATTCTAATTTAAATCTTTTTTTTTCCTGAGCATTTTGACAGTCTTTGGCTTCCTGTTGTGCTGTTAAGAAGCTCAATGCATCTATAATTAGCAATCACAATACAGGTAGGTCACAGGGAAGGCTGTACAGCATAGAGACAAGTAGTGACTCTTTAGCATCTTATTACTATGCTGATAGACAGAGAAGGCAGTGGGGGGTGAGGACTTGATAGTATGGGTGAAAGCTGGGAACCACAGTGTCGTTCATGCGAAACCTTCATAAGAATGTACGTCAATGATACTTCAATTTAAAAAAAAAAGTTAAGTAACCTACCCAACACCTTGCAGCCAGGATGTAGCAGACCTGGTATTTTTAGTCGGAGCTGAGTAAGCCTAACCACTATAATATACTGTTCTATAAACAGAGATACAAACAGAAAATAAAATGATGCTATCTATTAAAAGCCAAAAAAAACCCAGAAACTCAGTGCATGTTGATTTAAATTTTTTTGCATATGACTTCTTTTTTTCCTTTCTGTAAGCTTCTAGGGGCTTGTATTTGTCTCTGGATGTTCCTTAGTGCAGTCTTTGTTCTCTCCGTGTGGTGGTGCTAGGTGTTCCCTTTCAGTCTAGAATTCTGTGTCCTTGTTTTCTGAGGTATTGTCTTCTATTATTTCTCCATGCTCTCTTTTTGTAATTATGATCACTTCCTGGATTGGTCTCCTAGGTTTCTTTTTATTTTTATATTTTGTCTGTTTGCCATACTTTCTTAGATTTCCTAACTTTACTTTTCAAATCCTTACAATGATTTTTAGGATTTATGATATTTTTCACTTATAAAGTGTCTTTATCTGGGTTGTTTCTTTTTCTTACTTAGCATCTTGTTCATGATTTCTCAATTTCTCTAATCTATAAAGGATTTTAATTCCCAGTTTTTGAAGTTCCCTTTGCTCTACATTTGTTTTTCCTAGGCTGCTTTATCCTGTTTGCTTATTTGGGCTGTTTACTGTCATGTATACAACCTTCTGCAGGTGTCTAGGGATCTTTGGTTGTCCAGATTTTTAAACAAGGCATCAAAACACTGGAAGATTTGTGTTTGCATAACTGATTTTATTGCTTTATAACTTGCTGTATGGCTTTATAGTTTGGTGATTAGGGATTGAACTGGACTTTTTGTTTGGGAACTCCCAAATATCAACGTTTGCTAGTTCTCATGAGAAGAAAGTAGAAATCAAGGGGTTACTATGGCTGCCTGCTAGCTTTCTGGGAATAAAATGGTAAGAGGGGCTGTGCTGGCAAGTCTTACAATTTAAAGTACAGATCCTGACTTAATTCCCCTAATTTAAAAGTTAATTTTTATTTTAGATTTCTTAACTTTTTGAATGGGGAATACCTATACTTGGTAAAAAGTTTAAAGGGGACAGAAGATTATAGAATTAAAAGGTGGTGTCTCACTCATCTTGTCCCCTAGCCAACCAGTTTCTTCCTCAGGAGCATTAATAGTTTCCTGGTCAGTCTTTCTATCTATACATGCATATATATGTATCTTCATGCATATGTGTAAACATGTTTCTTTTTCCACATAGCAGCAGCATATTAGAGTGTTGTTTTTTTATACCACTTAATCTGTGTTTGCTTTGCTTTGGGGAACTATGTTAATTTTTTAAGTTTGTGTTTTTGTTCTGTTGATTACTTAGTAACTATGATTTTATTTAATATGCTTAATCTTCTCTTTCTTCTGTCAGTGTTTACTGACTTCCTCCCTATGAACGGTTTCTAAACTAGTTTTATTTTCATTTATTTTTCCCTCCCTTTGCCTCCTTTCCTCTCCAGATTTAGTGATTATATTGTTTTTATTAGTGTAAACGTTTATACCTTTAAATTACTTATACTTCTGTTACTTAATTTAGTATCTTTAAATACTGCTTTTTTACCCTGACTATATATTGTAGGCCCAGCAATACTCTTTATTGTGCTAAAATATACATAACATAAAATTTGCCTTGATGACATGATATTGTATATAAAAAACCCTAAAGAATCCACTCCAAAACTACTAGATCTAATATCTGAATTCAGCAAACTTGCAGGATACAAAATTAATACACAGAAATCTGTGGCATTCCTATACACTAACAATGAACTAGCAAAGAGAAATTAGGGAAACAATTCCATTCACAGTTGCATCAAAAAGAATAAAATACCTAGGAATAAACCTAACCAAGGAAGTGAAAGACCTATACTCTGAAAACTACAAGACACTCATGAGATAAATTAAAGAAGATACCAATAAATGGAACCACATCCCATGCTCATGGATAGGAAGAATTAATATTGTCAAAATGGCCATCCTGCCTAAAGCAATCTACAGATTCAATGCAATTCCTATCAAAATACCAACAGCATTCTTCAACAAACTAGAGAAAATCGT